GTTCCGTGGCGTTTCCGTCACGCTTAGACTGAGGACAAAGGATAATTCGGTCTTTGAACCTATCTGTTTAAAGCTAAATGACTCAGCCCCCAACATGTCATTCCACTGTTAAGTCTTATTCTACTTTTTGACTGGATTAATGTTTATCATGCTCATACGAGTTTAAACAATGTTGCTTCAAGATTGATTTGCATCGACACGAACTAGTGATAGGAAGTGAAGTAACCGAACGTGTAGACCGCTTCACTTATCTTGAGCGTCTCATTAGTGCTGATGGCCTCGTGACTGACGAAATCTCAGCACGGATACAGTACGCTCGATCGGATTTCGCCAACTTGCGTCACTTATGTTGTAGACGAGATATCCGTTTGCTAACCAAAGGTGTACTGTACACCAGTTCGCTCCGTCCTTGTACATGGATGCGAAACATGGCCGTGGTCATTGATCAGTTTGGATAGTCAACTCGGTGAATATTTAGGTGTGTGGTTTTTATGTCTCTGCAATCAGTATCAATAACTGTAGTACCACGCTCGTATGTATTAGCTAAACGTAATAAGAGTCCGTCAGGGACTGTTGGTGTTGTTTCAGATTATTAAGGAAAGTTATTTAAGCTCAAAGTAAATCTAGTTAAGACAAATCAGTTCATCACTTTTTAATGACTGATTGATCTTACCATTTAGTAATCCCATGATATTACTTGTTCATATACAGTCCAAGTGAATTGTAGGCTTTATGAACTGGTATGGTTACCCGTTAACCAGTTTTACTCTACCTTGTTTACGTTAATGAAACTTCTACATAAGTTTCCCAAATGTGACTTGTGCAAATGTTGTAAATAACCTAGAACGAGAAATAAGTAGTTACATTTGAACGTCTTTTAGTGTAGTGCATTATTCTGATTATTCGAGACATGAGTGGATTGGGTTTTCTTGGTTAGGATTCGGGTTGTCACAAATTTTCCTTGAATGTGAACCATTTTTATGATATCTAATCTAAATTCGTCGTCACTTATACCTTTCTCTTTTTAAATTTATCTCGCTGAATTATACTTCTTGAATGACATCCTCGAACCCTAATCTTGTACATAACCACTATGGGATCTGAACTGGCAGTTGCGTCTCTGTGCTAATGTGGTATGGCAATCTGAACCGATGTACGTACGTACGAAGTTCTACGTTGTAACTGACCCAAAATTTCGAAGTCATATTTTGAGCAACTAACAAAAAGCAGTAACTTTATAGGTAAATCTTATGACCATTTTTAGTTATGTGAAGCTTGATTGAAAAAATAAAAATCCACTTAAAAATGTATTTGCTCTCAACAAGGACCATATTTCAGTTTCAGCTAATTTACGAGGTGCAAGGGTTAGCAGAATCTAAAACAAAAACTTGGTTGGACACAATGTTGAATTAGTGATTATCTGAACCCAACAGATTGGTAGATAACATAATAGAAATTGAAATAAAAGGAACTAAGATCAAAAGTTAATGCGAATATTTTGTTTACTTAAGTATTATTAATAAATATACGCCACACAGCAGATTTGTGTCGGATCAGATACTACCCGGTTGCCTAAACCGAAGCAGGTAGATTTCTTGGGGAGCTACTTCCCGAGCCTTTGACCTAAAGGTCTAACCCACAAGGCAGTGGAGTAACTGGAGGGGTTACAGTCATTGTTGCCGGCCACTTATAGGTCCATACGCAACTAGCCCCCTCAGGATTCTGGCTCCCATGTACACCATTGGTTTGGAATCAGGATTTTCCAACCCAGCTAGGTGGATCCTCCATGTTCAATAATCTTCTCTAGTCTTTTATCAAAAGTTCACTGTATCCTCCCTCAATTTTTCACCGACTGTCGCTGCTACGTTGATGCGGTGGTCAGGTTTGCCTATTGTGATGACCCAACCGAGCTATATTGTCTGGAACATATGTTCCTGTGGGTCCTACCATGCCAGACAGGTGGATTGGATAACGGTGAGACCAAAAGCAGCAACTCGTCTGAGGGCATAGTGGTAAAACATGGTCTGAATATAAACAAGTGCTCCAGAATAAACGGCAGTCTTCAATCGAGCCTCTCCACTGATGACTTATAAAGAATTGATCTGGTTGGGTCCGTCTTCGGCTCGGCTTTGCGGGTCGCCAGATGTTCTTCCTTATGTTTAGTGTTTGCTAGAAATAGGCGATTATCTGAGCATAGCTGCATCATACGATCGTCATTATCTGTTCGATTAGCTGCAACACCATAAGATCCACTCAGGTATCTTTCCTTTTCACTTAGTCTATCTACTTGAGCATAGAAGTAACTAGCCACCATTACTATATCAGATCGCTTAGCTTTTTTAAGTTTATGGAGGTTTCTGTAAAACTCATGTTCTATCTCATCCGAACTGCAGTTAGTGGGAGCGTAGCAGAGACAGCAAAGAAGCAACGGCAAGTTTCTCTATCTTTCCGAGTCTGTACCGTCCCGTTTACCTGGATATCACCGTTTTTCCATCACTTTCTCACCTCTCTCAGCTGATGGTCTCCTGAAACTCCGTCCTAAACTACATATTGGAGCTTTTAATGTTCGAACATTGTGTCAAATAGGACAAAAAGCTTCCATAGCTTGTGCAATCGATGTATGTTGCTTCTCCGAAACGCGCATACGGGATCCGAGCACCGTCATTCATTTTACCTCACCATGTAAAATACTTCACCAACTCTACTTACTCTTCGTTTATCTGCAATGATATTTTTATGGCATTAAATGTGGAGTATATGTAAACTTGTCACCTATATTTATAAAAAGATTTTTCCACAATGTTGCGTTTTTGGTTGTTCTCACTCAGGACGTGAAAATTTTTCAGCAAGTTATGATGAGGAATGAAAGTTTATTGCTAAGGTTTTTGACCACTTACTTTACCATACAAACAAGGCGCAAAGTAAGATAAGTTTATTCTCCCCTTCCGTTGGATATTTTCATGATAAACATGGAGAAAAGATGAAACATTTTATATTCATAGGTGACATTGTTAAATGAATCCAATTGTAATATTTTACTGTTTACCCATTAATTCAATTGCTAGATACAGATTGTGTACTTGGCTATGAGCTACACTAGAGATAGAAGCTAATGACACTATTTAGTTGCTCAAACCGAAGTTGGACGGACTAGAAACCCATGGCATAGTAGAGGAGAGTTGAACAGCATGACCAGTGTGTCGTTGCTTTATTACCTTGGCCTGATATATTACATCAGGTTTCTGTTTGCAATCATTCTGATTAAAAATCAACCTTAGAGAGTTATTTAGTGTTTGAGGTTTCCCCGACTATCAATGTGAAAGAAATGGATAAAATTTACGTAGGAGAACACCATAACCGCGACAAGTAAAATTCGCCTCCAGGGACAGAAATCCTTGTGGTAAGCTGACGTATGGTATTGTTAAGGTAGACCTTCTACAACCCATTCATTTCATCGCGGGAGCTAGTATCTCTGTAGGTACTGTTTTTCCGAGGCAAATACCTTACCACTGTCACATTCCTCTACAGTTAGCAGTACGAATTCACCCTCAGATCTTGTTTCTGCTTCTAGTCACACCGGCATTGTGGAACTTAAAGTAACATATGTTCCAACTGGTATAGCTCAGTTAAGCTATCACCATAGGCAAGCCCGACCATCACATCCAATTAACATTTTCGGTCAGGTTTTTGTTGCTTGGAGTAGTCAGAAGATTGCATTTAATAGATCAGTGTTTATTAGTATTTGTGCGAGTGGACCTACCATGTGTTCTCTCTCCATGAAAAAACTTGGTGAAATTCTAGACTTGAAATGTAAATTTAAAAATATGATTTTGTCAGGAACTGTTCTCCTCTAAAGCTGATAAACTAACATAAGGTGTCATATCCGAACAATCTATATTTAATGGTATCGATACTTATCTTTAACGTCAATAGCATTCATGATAATTGAAATCTAACTTCTAATGTCTAGATGTCTCTGTCGCTAAAAGTCGCGTCTGTGTTTCACTCGACGTTACTTCACAGAATTCATACCTACGTGAAAGATTAAAAGAGTAGTTATTATTTTTATGCATTGGGCTTGATGCCCATTTCAGATAAACCATCCTATGACGATAGACGTATTGAAATCCTTTGTAGTCGCTTCGGAAATTCCGGTAGTTCGTCTAGATGGTATATTACGAAACCAGTTAGTACTAGATTGTATTTCAGTGGTACTAGTTTTCAGCCATCCACTATTAAACAGTGAGTTCTGGTTACAAGTCAGATAACGTAGGATTTTGTACATCTCACCAGAATAGAGTGAACGAGTCAACAAGAGCTATGAATTTAGGTATAAAGAAAGAGATATTTCACAAATATTTCCGAGTAATATGCAAATAGATAGACACATATATGTCTTTGTGATCGACTTTTTATCATATACGGTCTTCAGTCAGATACTACCTATTGGGTCAAAATCTTAGCTCCGAATTAGTTTCTGCTTCGCTTTTGTTGTTTTGATCATCGGAGAACATTTGGGATATTGTTTTGTTATTGCGAAATTTATTTTAATTACTAACTTAGGCAATTGTCCTTAAGTTATTGATTATTCCATGTTAACATATTTATCAGGACTCTACGTAGTGATAGACAAAATCTTATAACAAATTCATTTTGTATAATGCCCATTAGCGAGCACCTAGGCATAACCATATAACAAGTCTTACATTCAAATGTGTAGACACTAGTGTGGATGAGCTACTATGTTGATTTATGTCTCCTTCTAAATTCTTATTTCTTTTATCGGTATTTTTATCGTTTCCTGTTGTGTCAGTTTGCTATTTCGTGGTAAATGTTTGGAAATTCTATATACAGCGGAACTATCGGTGTTTAGTGGTAGTAGTCTATTTTAATTTATGAATGATTTCTTAGATTCATTAAGTTTGTATTCTAGTAATTTATGTTGCTTTCTGTTTCAGATTATTTCAGTTCACTGTTAGTGTTTTCCAGGGGCCACTTGAATGTCACACAAACAAGGGAAATTGAGTCCTAATACTCCTAAGACAAATCCAAATGCTATTAATCGTAATGTGAGCCTACATGCACTGGAATATGAAGAAGCTATGGAAGTTGAACAACCCTTGAGTGATACTTCAGAACCCGATCCGTCTTCAGATGCAAGCCAGGTGATTAATCATAAATTCACTTAATAAATCATATCTTTTCATATTGTCATTAATTTATTTAAAGTGTATAGTTTATAATGATCGCTACATATTCATTGACTGAAAGTTTTATTTTCTTGTTTACAACCTAAGTATACATTATTCTTATATATGTTCATAGCTTTAAAGTTGAATTTCGAATTTCTGTAGTAAGGGCTTAAACTTGTTTTTTTTTTTTTTAAATAAAAGACCTAGTGGTTGAGAACCTACTTTTCGTCAGAAATTTTACTCGCATTTAATTCAAATGATAAGACAACAGAATTGAAAGTTTACTATAACTGTTCAGTAATAAATTGCTATTAAATGGAAACTTTTCTTTTTTTTCATGATATGAAGAAAGTAGTAGTCGTTGGTTGTCTTATAATATAATAGTTTTAGTCTTTCATTCCACTTATCAACTCACAAGTAACCTATGATCACACTATTTTTTGTAAGCAATAACGTTAATTTCTTGACATATATTTATAGTCTGTAAATTTGTGATTTATATTCTGTTTAGTCTGTTTCCTTTGGGATTAAAGAAATAGTTTCGTCGTGAAATTCTTTTATACAAGCATTTTTCTCATTTATTCCCATATATAATCAGTTGGTTAACTCGTCACATAACAAACACCAAGTTTTGCTACTAAAAAATTACCTTGACCTTTTGTTACTTACAAGATTAATTATATGGATCACTTGTGTGTTTACCACAGGATTTTACTTTTAGACTCCAAAACATGCTAAAATAACTCTAATTATTTACTAAGAATGACTTACCTCAATGTGATTTCGGTGTGATAATTTTCGTATATACACGACATCTACGTAAGCAGGTTTTAACAACCTAGTAATTGGTACTGATATGCATTATTTTGATCTGCTTAGCAATTGTCTTTTCCATCTCCGAAATCTCGTAGGTATATCGCATAATTCAAAGATAGTTAAAAGTATGGAGTAATGTTGAATAAAGGACAGGAGACACTACATCCATTCTCTAACTTGGTACTCGACAGTGTAATCACAAGCCTATACAAAATCAAACTCAAGATATTTGTGAGTATCATTGAGCCACAGAAAAGACATTCATTGGTTCACATCTTTTTTCAGTCAATTGTCCATTTAGGATTATCCTCGTCCATTGTCTTGTTCCAGGCTTATTCGACTTCATATATCATAAGTGGTCACCGGAAATTCAAGAATTCTGTCTTAACTAGATAAAGATTCCCGTTATGTATGTGTTGTTTTAAAACTCGTTGCTAGTAAGCTCATAATTGTTGTAGGACGATGACTTAACGATTATTGTACTTGGTTAATAAAGGGCGTCTGTATGACTACTTTTAGTGATCTTACATACTTCCAAAGGCTTTTTCGTACTAAGTTTTTTTCGTAAGTGTTTTGCCTTAGCTAGAGATTCGTAGAGAATTCCTACTCTTGGTTACCAAATTAATTATAAATTGCTCTATCAGAGTAGAAGATATTTGTAGGTTTTCAATCGTAAGTGTCTCCGAAGCATTGCTTGTGCATCATGGGACAACCGAGTAAGCAATGCTGTTGTTAGGAAATAAGTACTAGTTAATGATGGCAGATCAACAGATGAAGTGGTGAATCTTCATCAGTTGAGGTGACTGGGACATGTGTTACGAATACCGAACCCCTGACTGTCTCGATGAGGGATGTTTATGGTGTAGGAGTAGGTTGGAAGAAAGTTAGGGGCGGCCAGACCAAAACATGGCAGAAATCCATGAAGTCACTGACAAGTGTACTGAGTCATGTTGGTAAATCTGGACTACCTGGTTAGGGCCCGCGAGATGATAGTAATTGATGGTTAGAGACCCAGAATGACATGGCTCAAAACTGTTTACAATCGCGCATGTGCATCCACTCTTTGTGTTCTCTCAAATCCTAACCTTCGGAGTTCCTCATTACCTTTATCTTTTTCTTTTTAAGTTTCTTTCACTAGATTTTACTTCTTAATTAATATCGTCGGATCGTAATCTCTCCAATTACTGCTAATACTTTTACTACCTCTACTACTTTGGGATTTGAGATGACAGACTGTATTAAATATATAAGTATTCAATAATATTTGATTGATAGGGCGATCCTAACATTTTGGTGAATTTTTAATATTACAGTTACTGGTTAGAAGAATTGTAGAGATAATTAACTGATGATGTGGTGTTGCAATATGAAAGGACGAATTGTAGAACTAACATCCGTCTGTCCATGAGTTCTTGGTTGTAGTGTTGAGCATAATGCATCGTAGTATCTTGTGATGGTACCAGACTTTGTTCAAATTAGAATTTACCAAAGATCGTGATTTAGTTTTTACATTCTTCATATAATTTAACAGGATCTCAATTGGTAAAACTTTGAGTTTTGTTAACTGTTTGTATTCACTCATCTTTTCTCTTCGAATGCGCTCTCTAGCCCTCCTTTATTTCCTTTGACTAATCGCCCATAATTTCCTTACAATTTTGATTTTGATTTATAGGATGAACAGCACCCTTGGTTTTATAATGCTACTGTCAAAGGTGATTATGCGACTACTTGTGAACAAACAGATGCTTCCGTTGAAGCCTATGACGAAAATGACGAAGCAAGAGCTTCCGGGGTTATTGAAGGTGTTTTTGAAAATGTTTTGCATCACAAAGCAAGTTTATTGCATTTTGATTCGATGTTTTGTTCGTTGTTTGTACTTTGGTTTCTATGACTTATGCTTCTTGCTTAGTACATTTCCGCATAATCATCGTTCAAAACTATTACATCCGCAAAAGACTTTATACTACTTATATCTCCAAGCAATAGCTGATCAAACGATCGTTATAAATAGTGTTGTGTGGTAAGTTAAAAGGCCTGGCAGACTACAATGGTCCGTATTGACTTTGGTGTAGTCACATTGTTAAGTAGGACGTAGATTGAATTAGAGCATGTCCAATGCATGATAATGTTGGAACATGTTGATTGACATAATTCTTAGTTAATCAATGTTAGCGAATAGTTGGTGAAGGTTCTGGAATACTCATGTGTAAAAATTATAAATATACTGCCATTTTTATTACTATGTTCCTTTCGCATTTAACTTGGTTTATCAGAATATAATTAATTACCTGTTCAAACTGTGTTCTGATTTTGAGGACTAGTTGAGTGTTATACAGTGTTGAAAAATACTAAGCAATAAGATAGCTGAGTCGTATAAGCAAGATCTCTAACACACGTTGATCTCGAAGGCAAGTCTTAGAAACTCACTTGCTATAAATGAGTTGAATGAAAGCTAAAATCACAGACAGGGATACGGTTATAAGTTGTAAATAATTTGTGACTTCACCCTTAACTGAGAAACTTCAGTATATAGACAAAAATATACACTGACCGCCTTCCATGTCCTTTACCATCTTGTACGTCCTCTAAACAGACTGTCTACATTGATTATCTTTATTTTATGAAACCATGAACTGCTACACGTGTTTGCTTAATTAAATCAACCATTTACGATGTTTTAGTTTATATGGTAAACTGAGCCTGTCAGACTAGAACAGACATATTCACTCAACTATTTATTTCATATCAAATTTGAAAGTCTTCATAACTTAATTTTTGGAAGCGAAATATAGGAATCACTGAATTTCAGTTTTTAAGTAACATAGAACCTTAGATCTATCCAAATTACTACATCACATCAACACATTAAGATGAAGCTATCAAAATAAATTCTAGCATAGTAGAGAAGTGAACCGTTATGAATATTTCTAAATGAGGTTTTGCTAATTTTGAGCTTCAAACTATAAAGGTTCTCCGTGATTTGTTGCAAAGTCAGTTTTCATTCACAATAATTAAGCATTCATTGCTTTTCATCTTTTGGTTTTTCAAACAGTTATTCTTGGTAGTATTATGTTCAGTTTTCTTTGAGTTTATATATTTTTTTTCTTTCCTACCCACTAATACATGAATTTCTTATTTCCAAAACGTTTTCAGCAAAGTGCTAGTCGTGCAGACGTTCGTGTAAGTGTTTTCTCTTCATTTTCAAATGTGTTGACTTTTTCCATTGATTTATTTATAATTATTATTAAACAACTGTATTAGAAACAATCAATCACCTGTAACATGAAATCTGGCACACATGTATCCATCGACTCGAGAATTGTCAAATTGTATTATTACAGCAAGATAAAATTATCGCGATACATGCTAGATTAGTGGAAATTGAAATAGTATCAGTGATAATAGGAATGATTAAACATAAACAACATCAATGAAAACAAGTAAAATGAATAATTATGTATTAGACATTGAACGAATATTATGATGGTAATAGTGATGTGCTATGCATAAAAGTGAAAGTTTTTCCCACGTTTAGTCGCAGCTAGAGACATATTGTTGTTGTTACATGTTACACAGTAGATCTAACTTCTCGAAAGACTTGGCTATATTTTGATAGTGTACTTATAACAATATTGAAAATCAATAAAGAGTTGGAGTAGATTACCCTAATTGACAGGTTCATCATGACAAGGAAAGAATGATTTCTAATCAACGAGCTTGTACTAACTATCAAGTAAATCTTAAACACAAAACCCATAGTCCAGTTAATGAGTAAAGTAATACAGATCAGTAGACCGCTTCACTTATCTCGGGAGTCTCATCAGTGCCGATGGCCTGGTGACTGACGAAATCTCAGCACGGATACAGAAGGCTCGATTGGCTTTTGCCAACCTGCGTCACTTATGGCGTAGGCGAGATATCCGTTTGCGGACTAAAGGACGAGTGTACTGCGCAGTGGTTCGCTCCGTCTTACTTTATGGCTGTGAAACATGGCCAGTGAGAGTAGAAGATATTCGTAGGTTACTGGTTTTCGATCATAGGTGACTCCGAAGCATTGCTCGTATATCGTGGGACACCCGAGTGAGTAACGCTGTTATTAGGAATCGGGTGCTAGGTAAGGATGGCAGGTCAGTTGATGAAGTATTGAAACTTCACCAGTTGTGGTGGTTGGGACGTGTGTTGCGTATGCCCAACCACCGACTGCCTCGTCGAACCTTGTTTTGTAGTGTAGGAGTAGGTTGGAAGAAAGCTAGGGGCGGCCAAACCAAAACATGGCAGAAATCCACGAAGTCATTGACTAGTGGACTGAGCCATGTCGGTAATTGTCGACTACCTGGTTGGGGTCCGCGAGATGATAATAATCGATGGTTAGAGACCTTGAATGACATGGCTCAAAATCGTTCGCAATGGCGCCGGTGCATTTATTCTTTGTGTTCTCTCAAATCCTAATCTTCTGAATTCTTCAACACCTCTAGTTTCGACTTTCTAAACTTTTCTCACTGAATCATACTTCTTGAATAATATCTTCTAATCCTAACCTCTCCGATTACTTCTAATACCTTTACCACCTCTACTACTATTGGATTTGAATTGACATTTGCGTCTGTGTGCTGATGTGGTATGGCGACATGAACTGATGTACTTATGTACAAAGTTCTACGTTGCATCTGACTTACTGACTGACTAATCAGTAGAAGCGTGGTAAACTTGAGGTGTTACTAAGACAGGGGCATGCAAAAGCAGTAATTCAATACCATATTCTCATCTGCTCACCATTTTTTTTTGTCGAATGAAGCAATAACTCTGTATTTGTTCATTACAGAAATTAGACTTGAACACATGTAAATAATGAGTAATGATCCACTATAAATTATCACATGAAATAATATAATTTTTGGAATTGATTAATCCCATTGATTTTTATCGTCTACAATGTTAAATGTAACAGTGTAAGTTTCATCTTCAACTGTCACTCACTCACTCACTCTGACTGGTGTATGTTATGCAAATAACTACACATGCATTATGTACTTGAAGATATTCAGTATGTTAAACGGTAATATAATATAGCTGTTGGGTTTTTTTAATAATAGTAATTTGTGTGATTATTTTGGAAAAGTTGCAGTTTGTGAATGTTGTTTTTGCGAAATGGACATCTAAATGGAATTTCTCAGACTTGCTACACAAATCTCTGTGAATAATTCTGTCATTCCTGTGTAGATGTTCTTTAGAACATTAAGAAAGTGGTATCATGATGGATATCTGAAGACAAGGCGTTTTTCATGTAGCACAAATGAATTTTGGTAACTACCAGATTTTTGTTTATTACATAAGTGATTTAAATTGTTCTTTTTCAGGTGGTTCGGGGATCAGGAATGATTCGTTGTCTTCCGTGGAAAATACTTGTAATTTTCCATCCATCAGACGCTCAATCGACAATTGGTGTTTTTGTACAGTGTAATGCAGAAAGCGAATCATTAACTTGGAGTTGTACTGCGAAGGCGACTATTCAGTTAGTTGCCCAGAGACCGAACTGTAAGAACAAAGAAATGAAAATTCAGCATACATTCACGCATAAGGAAAATGATTGGGGCTTTCAGCAGTTTATTAGTTATGAAGAGTTGCTCAATCCAGATAGAGGTTTCTTATCTCCAACAGAACCAAAAGATACTATTATTATCCGAGCTCATATTAAAGCCGATGCTCCTCATGGCGCTGATTGGGATTCCAAACGCCATACTGGATTTGTTGGGTTGAAGAATCAGGGCGCTACCTGCTACTTAAATTCTCTACTTCAAGCACTGTATTGCACAAATAAATTACGACGTGCAGTATTTTTAATGCCAACGGAAAGTGACGATGCTCAAACAAGTGTACCTCTAGCTCTGCAACGAGTATTTTATGAATTACAGTTCAGTAGTCGTGCTGTAGGCACTAAAAAGTTGACTCGCAGTTTTGGTTGGGCTACTTTAGACTCATTTATGCAACACGATGCCCAAGAATTATGTCGGGTGTTATTAGACAACTTGGAAAATAAAATGAAAGGGACTTCAGTTGAAGATGTTATACCCGGATTGTTTTGTGGAAAAATGCTTTCTTACATAAATTGTATCAATGTTCCTTATTCTTCGAAGAGGGAAGAAAATTTCTATGATATTCAACTCAAAGTTAACGGGAATCGTTCTGTTTATGACGCTTTCAATGAATACATTGCTAAAGAAACCCTTTCCCAAGATAATAAATATGATGCTGGTGCTTATGGATTGCAAGAAGCTGAGAAAGGTGTTATATTTACACGATTTCCACCGGTATTGTACCTGCAACTAATGCGTTTCCAGTATGATTTTGTTGCTGATACAAATATCAAACTGAATGATCGGTTTGAATTTCCTTATATTCTTAAGTTGGATCAGTTTTTGGCTGAACCGAAACCATCTACTTATAAACTTCACGCGGTACTTGTGCATTCGGGTGATAATCATGGTGGTCATTATGTTGTATATATAAATCCAGCACTGAATGGCATATGGTATCAGTTTGATGATGATGTTGTTTCACGTTGCTCACCTCGGGATGCTATCGATATGGTAGGTTTTCTGAAGTGTTATTCATCTGACATAAACCCTTTTAATAGTTTAGTTCTAGTTTGTTGTCTCTAACCTTTGACGCTCAATTCGGAAGCAGCTTCGATCACTGTCTGTTGCTACTCGTGGAATATAGGTCACCGACCAGGATTCGCCAACCAACTCTGTTCTGGATTTCCCTTATCATTTGTATCCAATCGCTATTCATTCTTTTCTTATCTGTCTCTAATTCTCGACTCAGTGTGTTCTTTTGTCTGCCTCTTTTCCTTTAACCTTGTGGATTCAAAGTTGAGGTTTGCCTCGTGACGCAGTTGGTTGATTTTCCCACTTTCTGTCCTATCCAATTCCAGCTCTTTCTCTACCGGAAGCTGGTTTGTTTTCTGCCAGGGTAGGTTGTTACTGATGGTGTCTGACCAACGGATCCGGAGTGTCCTGCGTAGACAGCTGTTAATAGACACCTGTATCTTGTTGTAGATGATGGCTTTCGTGGTTCTCCAGGTTTCCACCCCATACAATAAATCTGTTTTGATGTTTGTACTGAAAATCGTGACTTTGGTGTTGGTTGTCAGTTGTTTCGAGTTGCTGATGTTTTTCAGCTGTAGGTATGCTGCACCTGTCCGTATCAGTCAGTCAGTCCGCATCTTCATATCTATCAGATCCACCTTGTTTATCATTAATCTTGCTGAAGTGCTTAAAACCATCCAAAACTTTTCCGTCAAATATGATTTGGTTATTGCGTGTTGTGTTGTATCGGGGAATTTAGCTTTTTCTATTGTGTATGTTGAGACCTACTGCTGCAAAAGCCGTTGCTACACCGACGTGTTCATCTGTACATTTCGCTGTATGTTGGCTGCATGCGTTAGATCATTTGCGAAGTTCGAATCATCCAGCTGCATCTGAGATGTTCACTGTATCCCTTGCTTCCCTTTAAATATTGAAAGCTTCAAAATCCAGTCAACCACCCGCATAAAGAGTAAAGTTACGAGTAAGCGGCGTTTTCTAACATCAATTTTCACTTGGAATGAATTTGTGAGCTGCCCTCCATGCACTATTTTCTCAGGTACATCATAGTGTTGAAGAAGTCTATAATGCTATCCTATTCACGTTTTCGTATACTTTTTCGTAGTCAAGGAAGTTGGTTTATAGTGATGAATTCCATTCCATGGATTGTTTGACAATGATCCACAGTGTCGCAATTGAGCCATTACACGGCTGAACTCCAAGTGGAGCGAATACTAAATCTTTCATTTGGTATCATCATGAAGTATTCTTCTTTCCATTCTGTTTTCACTTGTTCTTCCTCCTAAACCTTACTAAACAGTGCGTGGAACATCTCTAAAGTTACTGTCATGTTTGCTTTCACTGCCAAAGCTGGTATGTTGTCTGGTCCTTCTGCTTTGATACTCCTGATTTGTCTGATGATCATGCTGATCTCTTCAATTGTTGGTGAGTCAACATCGATTGCGATGTATGTAAGTAGTGCTTTGTTGGATATGTTCAACGGTGCTGGTCTATTCAAGAGTCCTTGTTTGCTCTTGTTCGACTGTTATTGATTGCTATCTTCCGGTTCTTCCTTTCTTGAATCCTAATAAAAGTATTAATAGAAATCGCTTCCTTATCATGATGCTTCTTGTAGCGGAAAAGTTTTTTACATGTTTATGTTAATGCTTCTTTAATTGTTTTTCACTTGCTCTACATTGTAGTTTCCTCTTCATTGAGTAGATCATATAAGGCTTGGAGCTTATTGCTGAGGTCTATCTTGAATTCGTTGAACATGTTAGTATGTGGAAGAAGAGCCGTATTAAACCTTTGTAATGTCGTTCACCCAGTTGTCCAGTACTTCTTGAGTTTCAGTTTCATCTTGGTCAATACCAAGTGGGGATCTGTAGCTATGTCAGCTCCTCCCTTTGTTCGTTTGTCTTTCATGTTCATTCCAAATCTATTATCAATGCAGATGTGGTCGATTTGGTCCTCCGTAATATGATCCGATGAAATTCATGTGTCATTGTGTATGCCATTGTGTGGGAATATGGTGCCGCCCATAACAATTTTGTTGTAGGCAAATAGATTTGAGAATCTCCCACCGCTTTCATTCCTTTCTCAGTCCATTTTCTCCCATGGTGTTTTCATATAGACGTTGTCCATTCCAACCTTGGAGTTTAGGTCTTCCATCAAAATGGATATTTCTTAACGGTTGACTGTAGTGTCTAAACTAATAATCTTCCTTGCCATCGTTAGTGGGCTCATAGTACTGGATGATATTGATTGTATTCTCCTCAATCTTTGTCTTGAAGTATGCTTTGGTCATCTTGAGTTCATGAGATCCTTGTCTCAGAAGTTCTTTCCATGCTTGTTTGGACAGCATCTGTGCAATTCATTGAGCAAGTGAAGCATTTTCCTCTTCATGGCCGAAGTTTGTTTTGTTCAACTTGTGTCCAACAGGTTTCAATTATTTCAAGTACCGACAGGTCGTATGTTTTCACTTCCGTAGTAATAGGACTTTTCAAAAAATAAATATCATGGACGTTTTGTGATGTCTAATGATATCTGCGGTGATGCTAATCTATAGCGTTGAGCGCTCTAATTATTAAATCTCTGTGATAACTGATATACTTAGAATTTTCGGTTAGTTTGGGTTGTTCGCTTATCACTATGAGTGCAAGTAGTTGATTTCAAGAGTTACCTAAAATCTATATCTGTATCAAGTTAGGACCTGAACTGCCAGTTCACAAATCAATTGTCACATATAGTATATTTTAATTTACGATGTCCATATTAATGAATATTGGGTGCTCATGTTCCCATTTAGACTAATTTGGATGTCACTTCCCTTCTGCCCACATCGTGGAAGGGTGTTGCTTAAATTGGCACTTAAACTAGTGATAGGGAGTGAAGTGATTGAGCGTGTTTACTGCCTCACTTATCTTGGGAGTTTCACCATTTCTGATGACCTGATATGTGATGAGATCTCAACACGGATACAGAAGACTCGATTGACTTTTGTCAATTTGTGTTATTTATGTTGTAGGCGAGATATTCGTTTGTATGTGTTTTTATAAAAAAAAATCATATATTTTACCCTCACATTTTTGATGAATTCTAGTTGTACTTATTTTATTACAGAATTTCGGTGGCAGTGATGATCCTGATATGCGTCTTTGCACAAACGCTTATATGCTTGTGTATATTGCCGATTCCGCGAAAGATGATGTTCTATGCCCTGTTTCTGAGATTGATATTCCAGAGACATTACGTGAACGATTCATGGATGAACAAAGATTGGATGAAGCTAAAAGGAAACAAAAAGAAAAAGTTCATTTATATGTGGCTATTCAATTAATACTTGAAGAGGATTTCTATGGTTGGCAGGTAAATCACAGCCAAATTCAGATATATATATATTTCCTAATCATTTCAGACGTACTTCTTTTTTTCACTTATCATTTGTTTATCATCACATAAACCAATAAACCTTTTTATATTTGAATTTTAGGGTCCAGATTTGTGTAGCCAAGAATTTTTACCCAGTCGAATGTTACGCGTTCAAAAACAAACTCTTCGTCCAAAATTATTAGAGGATGTAGCTAGTGTTTTGCATCATCAACCTGAAACAATACGTTTGTGGCGATTCCAACCTCGGTAAGTATTTTTTTGCATTACGGGGTTGTGAAGATTGTTAAGTTGCACATTTTTGAAACCATGAATCGATCAATGTTAGACCACCATTAGAAACCTGGAAGCACTGGGCGGCCGTTTCGTCCTGGTATGGGACTCCTCAGCAGTGCGCATCCACGACTCCTGCACCCCGCAGGATTCAAACCCAGGATTTTCGGTATTGTGCGCGAACGCCCTAAACGATAGACCACTGAGCCGGTATCTAACGGTGTTAATGTCTAACTTGATCAAATTCACGAAGTTGCGCAACCTCATACACAGTCTTCGGTAGACACTGTCTACACCCGAACAGGTTGAACTTCACTGGTCACGTCTTCCCACTAGAACTCGGAGAAGATTCCTCACGAAGCTAGTCACTAGTGAGCACAGGTAATTTGCATTACGGGGTTGTGAAGATTGTTAAGTTACACATTTTTGAAACCATGAATCGATTAGGTTAGGGCGTTCGCGCACAATACCGAAGGTCCTGGGTTCGAATCCTGCGGGGTGCAGGAGTCGTGGATGCGCACTGCTGAGGAGTCCCATACCAGGACGAAACGGCCGTCCTGTGCTTCCAGGTTTCTAATGGTGGTCTAACATTGATCGATTCATGGTTTCAAAAAAAAGTATTTTTTTCTTTTACTAAAAATAAAAATTAAATTTTGTTTTTTTCTAAAAAAAATTTAGTACAGATTATTATTATTCTATTTGTATGTCGTTCAATTGTTACTGAACTTTACTATATATCTGCAATATTAAACCGAGTGTTGATAAGCATTATTTTTTTTTTGCACATTTCTAATTCCATGGAAAGTTTAATGGTTGTTGTTGTTTTTTTTTTTAAAAAAAAATTTTTATTTTTCCTCAACATTAGACGTAAAAATATGCCTACTCATTTAGTTGAACTATGTGATAATCAACCATTATGTGCTATGAAAGATGCTCTCATATTTTTTGTTCAATCTGATACTATGAATAATAGTAGCAGTTCAATTATTAGTTCACGTACTACAGATAAAGAACAAGCTGTAATGATAGATCGACATTTGTTTTTCTTAAAATATTTCGATTCATTTACATGGACATCAACATTTTGTGGTCATGTGGAAATACGTAGAGATGAACCGTTGCGAGTTATTGAATCAATAGCACGTGAACGAGTTGGTTTACCATCGAATTGTAATTTGATATTTTTTCAAGATGATACAAAATCATTGATATCTGAAATTACACAACTTGATATTCCAATATCAAAAATGTATAAACGTGATATTCAAGGTCAAGTTCTATACTTCCAGGTGAGTTAATATTCGTTGTGTATAATTTCTTTTGATTCATATTTAATAAATGTATGAAGCTTTGCTCCTTCTTATTTTTTCTTCACCCCAGCTAGCTTAAGTTTTGTGTTGATTTAGTAGTTTGTTGTAAATCATCTACTTTACATAGTAGTTCCATTGAATATTTGAATTTCTATGAATATTTATCCTCCAATATTGTAGTAGATTGATCCTGCTGAATCTTCTTTGCCTTATGGGTCATGATTATTTATTTCCCCACATATATTAATTAATTAGCATTAATTTACAAAGAATCAAGAAACTTAGATTTAGAAATTGTAATTACAATTCTCAGTGTAAGATTATTTGACCTTTCATGTAAAATGAATTGAAAAACTTAATTTAATTTTATTTTTACTGCTTTATTATAGGATTCTAGATAGTATTTTAGATAGTATTTTGATCCACTAACTTATGAGTAGAGTAGTTCATGAGCTTTAATTACATAATCTCATTTGTAGGAACCAATAATAACTGTGTTAATAAACTGTCATCATTCAGATTGCATTAAGTATTACTAAACAGTCCTCTGTTAGTTATTGATCAAGGCGATATTGTGCTTAATCAAGCACTTAAAAGTTAAACATTGCTATGGCTTGCTCTCTTACATAGGATGAGTTAACCGAAATGAAAACATACGAATTGATTGTTGGGTATATAGGGCTGGCTGTATAATAAATTAAGAAACTGATTGATGACTAGCTAATTTTTCTACTTGTTGTTTAAAAGTCAATTATTATGACCAAGTATATTGATGATACATTTTTATGAATTTCAGTTACTTTCTAATCATACAGTGGTGGATCACCGAAACAACCGTACACATATTCACATTATTTCTAATAGGTCTGACGTAAAAACTACCTATCTATCTATCTTATTAGAGAAAACCACCAATAAATCATTTCAAAATGCATTTTTCAATGTGTAAAAGTCTGACAGAGACATCTTTTTGCCATTCATTTTCTGTGTTACATCACAGTATCAACTGAGTACAATGTTTTCCATCTTTTCGTTGACTTTGGGAATTCATAATTAGAAATTTATATCTTATCTTTATCAAAGTTTATTTTATTGAGAACCAATATATGGGAATTATATATATATATATATATAAATAGTGGATAGTAAAATGAAATTACATAGCTTACTGTGTTGTATTGTTGTGTTTATATTAAATTCATCACATTCAATCGGATGGACATCCTTATTTTCGAGCAACCTCCTCCTAACTGCCTTTTTTCTAGGCTAAATCAATAAATTGCTCAATCCCATTACCATTTGGATTAATGGAAACTACTGAAACAGGAAAAGAAGCATTGACCAGTCTAATGGATGATACAAATGTTTTGTCTTCTGTTGATGAAAATACCCTCCTTACTGACAATAATAGTCAGGTTGTTGGAGTTAATGGTATGGTTGTTCCTTCACATATAGTGGATGATAATACTGTTGGTAGTAATGCAAATGTTAGCAGAGATTTGCCCGAATCTTGTTCTAATGTCTCATTATCAAGTATTGATTCCATTGCTTTGCATAAAATGGCAACTTTTCCATCAGTGGCTGGCAATAAATCTCGATCTTGTATGAATTTAATGGATCAACCAATTACGACCGATTTACAAACGCAAACAATCACATCTGCAGAGAAAATGACAATTTTCGATTACTTCGGCAGTTATATACGTCAAGTATGTTTTATAGATAGTAGCCTTAAAACTGTTTGATGTCAAAATATTTTAAAAACAACCTTTTTAGTTATACGTAGTTTACTGTTAAGCTAATCAGCCTATCTATCATATCGCTCCCTATGATCTTGTGTTTTGTACAAGTTATGCAGAATTAATGTAGAGCAATCTGATGGGTTCATTAGTTTTTAGTGTATAAGTTTAAACTTCAATATTTGCTGTAACATTGTTATCAATGATTTCAAGATTGAAAACCTTAAACTGTAGTTTTAGCAATTAACATAACATTTGCACTAGTGTTAAAAATTCTCTTTTCGTAGAATCCAGCTATTCCTTTTGCTTAGTATTATCGGACACCAAATCACTCGACAAGTCCCCAAATCAGAACACGGTTGAACAGGGAGCAGAATATATTTTAAATGGAAGTAAGGGGCTGAAGCGAAGGCGAAATAGGTACAACTTTGGTATCCTTTTAGAGAAACTTCTACAATACTCTCCAAGTATCGATCAGCGGTGATTGGTTAAGAATTAGCCAATCAACGCGCATCTAACGCAGTCATTCTTTAATTCATCTGTGTCCCACTAACAACAACTAGGATGTTTCTTTCTACATCAACCATTATTAGAGTGACTATTGTACCATTGAACATAAATTGGAACTCAGTTTTGTAATTTCGCCTCTTTGTCTGTGTCGCATGTGGTAGGGAAATCTATCATAGGTTTCATGAATTATTGTAGGCAATCTTTAGCAGATGTTTCTTGACGTTATTAATGTGTTGATTTCAATATTGTTATCCATCAAAATAGATTACGGTAGAATAGTGTATTGAAAAATGTATTGTACTAGGATTAGATATTATACCCTCTTATCGTCATTTAGTTGACTGACTTATTTGATTTCGCACATATGCTTATCCTCTGTACGATTGTAAATTGTTTGTACTATAATAATTGGTTTTCTACTGCTCACTACTCATTTTCATGTAGAGTTAAAATTAATTAATGCGTATACAGATTTCCTACAATATCGTCATGAAATATTCTAGTTTCTATCATTCCATTTTCAACTCACTCAAAATTATCTATGTGTATAACTAACTGGCTGATTGAATTGAAGTTTTCAAAGCACTTTTTCGGAGGCACTGCAGAACAAACGGATGTCTTATCCTTGTCTAGATCTCATTGACGCTTATCAGCCATCTCTCCTGGAATATCCAACTGGAGTGCAGTAGATGCTACGTTCTTGCTGTTTAATGGCTGTGAAGCCGATGACACTCTGTGACGAAGCTCATCTCCAAATTCCACTCGTCTTCTATAAACCTAGCTAACTTGAAATTAATTTTGTATACAAACTACATATTGATTATTTTGATATCTCTTATTAGTTTGTAACTAAAAGTCCTAAACAAGTAATTGAAATCAATCATTCGAGGAATTTTTATTATAGTATTTCAACTCGTTTTTTAAACTTTTAAAAGGGTTTTTTTTAAATAACCAAAAAATTTTTTAAAATTTTCACAGCGTTTTTTAAAATTTTTTGTAATCCTTAGAATGTCAGAAATAAATAGAAAAAACAACTTGATTTCGAATGAAAAAAAAGAAAAAGCCTTATAAAAAAAGTTATTGAAGATGGATACAGCGTCAAGGATGCGGCATTTCTTACAGATGTAAACTATCAGGCCGCTACAAATATTATAAGGTTGTATATATAAAAAGGAATCGCGAGTTGAGAAGAAAAAAACAGGAAAACCATCAAATAAGAAGATATGCGGTGATATTATGAATTTTGTTGAAGAATTGATAGAATTAAACCCGTTAATAATGATGGTAGAAATTCGAGAAAAAATAGAAAACATATTTTTTCAAAGTAATCTGAAGTCTATAAATTATCCTTTTTATAGATTCAAGAGAAAGGCCTATAGAAAATATGTCTTCTATTTTTTCTCGAATTTCTACCATCATTATTAACGGGTTTAATTCTATCAATTCTTCAACAAAATTCATAATATCACCGCATATCTTCTTATTTGATGGTTTTCCTGTTTTTTTCTTCTCAACTCGCGATTCCTTTTTATATATACAACCTTATAATATTTGTAGCGGCCTGATAGTTTACATCTGTAAGAAATGCCGCATCCTTGACGCTGTATCCATCTTCAATAACTTTTTTTATAAGGCTTTTTCTTTTTTTTCATTCGAAATCAAGTTGTTTTTTCTATTTATTTCTGACATTCTAAGGATTACAAAAAATTTTAAAAAACGCTGTGAAAATTTTAAAAAATTTTTTGGTTATTTAAAAAAAACCCTGTTAAAAGTTTAAAGAATGAGTTGAAATACTATATTTAGACGTATAAGTGTAAGCATTCGTTTTTCTTCTTGTAGTTCGAAATACTGTTGGTAGATAAGCTTAGACCTCAGGACGCTGGAATTCTCATTCAAGTATCAGCTGATCTTACTTATTGGGAATTTGCCAATGTTGCAGCAGCATACTTATCAACCCAAAGTAATCGTCTTCAATTTTTCCGTTCACAACAAGGATTTGGAAATGCAACAGATACTGGTAATGCACCAATTTATGTCTCACCTGTCTCCGCTGGAAGTGAACTTGCATCTCCACCTATCAGTTCAGAAACTACAGGCAACACTTGTAGCAATAATAACGTTTGTTCCGCAGAAAGTGGAGCTTTAGGCGTTACAGGAACACGTGGATCCTCAATTCATCCTCATTTGCTAACGGCTAAATCATCTGGTAAGTGAGGTAAAACTGTATTCTACTTCTTGAATAATATTCTCGAACCATTATCTATTTTAATTCTGTTAATACTTCTACTACCTCTATCGCTATGGGATTTAAAGTGACAACTGCATCTCTGTGTTAATGTGTAGTATGTCAACCTGCAGTGATGTACGTACTTACGAAGTTCTACATTCTAAGTGACTGACTGAGGTCCCGATACATCATTCTCTGTCAGTACAACAATTGTTTCCTGGTTTTACTATTGTTTCACTTCATTTGGCTAGGAGGTTCGATTTCTAGCTGCAGGTTCGGACCCCACTCTTGGTTGTTTCATTAGCCTCAGACCTAGAATTTCTTATGCCTAAAAACATGGTGAATTATTTTGGCCAAAATGAATTAATTAATCAACTTCATTATGAAAATTACAAATTATAAATCTTGTATCACGCGCTCTACCTTTAGCTCTTACAACTTATATTGTTGTGAACAAAAATACTGTTTTCAAGCTTACATTAGCAGCCGAGTTTTTGAACTAATTGCTTTGTGAACAAAAAAAACAAACAAGTTGCTGCTCATACATTTTTCGCTAAGTTGTCTTGTTCAGACTGATCGACTTTTGAATCTGAAGATTTCTAATTTTATTCACTGATCTCAGTTTCACAATTTATGGATAAAAAGCGGACACTATGTTTTTGATCCTTATTGTCTTGTTAATATATGTGAAATGCAGTGTAATCACGTGTAACGTATTGTTAGAATTAATTAGATTGAGAAAGTTTTTATCCAAGTCGATGAAATTTTAACGTTTATTAATCACCAGTGTGCTTCATATCACCCGTCCAATCATATTGCATAGGTGGAATTGAAATTAATATTCGTTTTTATGGAATTTGGATTTGGTTTATAAACAATTTTGACATTGTACGTATTTTAGTTTGTATACAGAAAATAAGTCCTTGTGGTATGATATGTGTGTGAAATTCATATAGACTTCTTTCATTGTAACATATTTTCTTAAGTTCTGTTTTGGAATATTCTAATTGCCAAAACAGTTTCAATAATAATCGAGTAAACGTTACACATTACGATGAGTCATGTAATTTATTGTTCTTCCTATACTTGTTTTAGGTTTCCCAACGTCATCACCTTACCTAAATTCACTTGTGGCTGCTGCAGCCGCTCAAGGTTTGATACGAGAGCCTCCCGGTGCTGCAATCAGCTCGTCATATTCTGGTACATTACAGGAAATTTTCCTTCCGTTTACTGTTGCGCCCACGAATACTTCATGGGCTTCTGATGTCAGTGGTGTTGGACCAGGTTTGGTTAATAGCGGAAATACATTGTCAGGACCTGGTGGGAATATCCCCACTCCAGATCGTTTTCCAATACCGCTTAATCGTTTTTGTGGTGCTGTGACTGTTAACCGTTCCCCTTTGGGTCCTGTTACTTCTCCTCCACCTCGTCGGGTATACTACGCACATTTGGCTATTCGGATTGATGAACTTGAAACTATGCGTCAAGTTCGTGTGATTTATGTTGGGCAAAAATTATCTGAAAAAGCAGAACTAATTCTTTCAGTACCTCAAAATGGTTTAGTTTTAGATCTTTTGAAGGAAGCTGCTCGTCATTTAGTCTTGCCTCCTGGTGGTTCTGGCCAACTGCGTTTACTCAAAATCTATCGTAATCGAATTATACAGGAGTATCCTCCAACACAAAAACTTTCACTCATACCTGAATCTGCTGTGTTTCCTCAAACATATGCCGGATCATCTCCTAATCATAGTCTTCGAATTGAAGAAATTCCTCTAGACGAAATAAATTTAAAGCCTGACGAAACTGTAGTATATGTTTCTCATTTCGATAAAGCTTTTACAGAAACTTTCGGGGTGCCATTTACCGTACGCATTCGAGATGGTGAGAATTATACAGCTGTACGTGAGCGTATACGTAAACGACTAGAAGTACCTGAAAAGGAGTTTGATCGTTGGCGATTCGCTGTAATTTATCCAACTGAAGGTGCTTATATTCCAAACGAAGGAGACCCTACTGTGCAAATCAAAAGGTTTACTCACTATTGTCTTCCCGAGAGTCGCCCTTGGTTAGGCATTGATCACAAGCCATCTAAACGTCCTCGTTATGCTCCAAATGAAAAACCTATCAAGATTCATAATTAAAAATTAAACAACTCATCCATTGATCTGTGCGAAATATATATATCTTGACTTCATTTCTCACACAATCTAGTTTTAAAGATATTCTCTTCAGTTTTCTTCAGACTACTACCTGTAAAACCAGTGACTTTTAACCAGCTTTTCCTATTATTACCAGTTGTCAATGACTTTAAAAAAAAAGCTTCGTTAACATATTCTCATAGGTTCGATGGATTTATCTTTTTTTTTCACATTTGCAGTACTTTGAATAATAATTATCCAATATTCTGCAGTGTTTGTGTCACTTTGTCACTTTCACACTGTGACATAATGTCCATGTAATTTCTTAGCTTTACTGTTTGTATTTTGTGCATATGAGAGACGACAAATGTGTGATGCACTCTCAAATGCTCAAGATTCTTCGTACCCTATTTTGGATTAATTTCAAGCTTGTCCTAAACCGTATCCAACATTAGTTATGATGTAAAGTGTTGTTTAACTAACTGACAACCAAATTACACTACTAAGTTAACTTCTAAGCATTTTAGATCAAATTGTATTGAATAAAATTCATCTGCACAGAAAATTTGATATTTAATTGATTTGTACTTGTTTGCATGATTGGAATTATTCACTTAGTTTTTTTTAGTTATATATACGTTAAGTGTTTCTCGAAGGTTAGTCAGTCAGTCAGTCAATTAATAGAGCTGTCTTAGTATCCCTTAAAATTTCTGCACTTTGTCTCTGTGTGTACTAATTTGGTATGTCTAGTTTGTGTACAGATGTATTGCTTAAAAATGCTCATTGTATCCGTTTTATTAGTACTAAAAGTTAGTTACTTCACTTTAATATCCAATGTAATTCTAATCAAGTAGCCGGGTTCGACTAGACATGAGCTCTCTCTCTGAAAAAATAGTTGAAACCTCGATTGATATCATTTGAGAGTAGCAAATGCAGTTCATCTTTATCCTTTTGAGTTTTTTTTTTTGATTATCTATAGATCAGTGGTCAGATAGATAGAAATTCTCTAAGTGTTCATTTGACATAATCTATTTTTCAGCAGTTGTTTGGTTTACTTAATAACATCTACTCCTCATAGATTATTCCTGTACCTTAGAAGTGGATATTACCGTTCGTTTTAAAACACTATGTCGTAATCCACATAATCACTCACTATTTCGAAGCAATCTACACAACATGACAACCAAGACAAATCGAATTTCAATTAAAATAACAGAAATCTCAACTATTTCAAATTGAACTATGATTCAAATAATTTTTAAACTTGTGGTGGATTGAATATGACCTCTCACACATAGAAATCACTATCTTAGAGTTTATTTAAATCATCCTTTATTGTGTTAAAACGAGTCGATTTAACTCTCATTATTTACAAATCCCCTGAATTGGTTAATAATGCAGTAAGAGATCAATGTTGTACCATTCCTGTTTGTTATAAGCAGAAAAAAAAATGATGATCAATACAACCTCGAAATCGGTTTCAGTTTATTTTAGTTACCAGATTTTAAATAGACTTTCATTATTTACTTTAGCTGACTCCCTTTTTTTGCCGTATTGGTTGGTATAATATGTAACAACAATGTGCACACACTAGTAAACAAATCCTATATCGGTCTTATTATTAATCTATGATGAATAGTCAGTCATTTCATGTATATATATGTGTGTGTGTGTATATATAGGTTTAGGAAATAGTATTCAAAAATTTTATGTTATTCGTTGTTTGATGTGTTCTCAGTCGATTATTACTTCCCCCAAAAGTACTACTTACCTAATGAGTAGCTACTCATATTCTTGCACAATAATTCTTGTCGCAATCTTGAAAAGGTATTTTTTTCTTAAATTATAAAATTAATGACTCATTCACTGTTTATGTTAGATGTTTATTATATATATATATATAAATAACTACAAGTTGAATGAAATGTTAGGTTAGTTAGATAATCATTTTAAAAATTCAACACAGGTTAAAATGATAAATTGTCAATGAAGTTGGGTTGTTCAATGTGTCAAATTTAAGGTAAACACAATGTAATATTACCAGATGGCATTTGATTAGGAGTACTTGGTGATCGTTTTCTATGTATTTGTATTGGACCATTGTTTAGTGCGTTCATGTCATCTTTTCTACAGCTTTCAATTGGTTTTCCAATGCTTTCATTGATTTTTTGATCTTGTATTATTTCTCGTTCATTATTATTATTATTATTATTATTATTATTATTATTATTATTATTATTTGTATTGGTCAAGGGTGTTGATGTGCTACAACATGTAATCCGGTTTTTTTGAGTTCGTCGAATTCGTTTTCTCTTTGAAAATTGTCTACATTTTGTAATAAGATGAGTGATTAATTCTACTACTTCTATAACTGACATCATATTGAGTCCAATCCAAATGGAGAATAAACCACCGGATTGAGATAAAAGACTTGTCAATGATAGAACTTCTTTTTCATCTACCTGAAAATAGAATGTTACATATTGTTTTTTTTTAAATATTGTTTACTAAATAGTTTGTATATCCTGTCAAAACATTCGATAGTTTGTTTGAATGGAAACTTAAGTAGATAGTAATGATTAAATATGTTTTAAAGGGTAATAAGAGTGACATGTTCCTGTCATAAATTAACTGAAATTCGTTAATTGTGATTCGCGATGAACGCGCTCAGTCAAAATCCAGTTTGAAAAAAAAAGTATGTTAATAAACGATGGTGTTATGATACTCATCTTTTGCTTAAAAATGAGGCGGTGCCTCTTTTTATAAGTGCCCCGTTCTCGGTCATCAATTTTCGACAACTAAGTAGTGCCTGTAGTCTAAACACTTTAAGTGTTACTGAAAGTCGACTGTATACAACTAGTATGTGAAACCTTCATCATACGGATGCATAAAAACTACTAGTGACGTAAGGAATTATCAATTGTGAAAGCTTACCTTGTGAACATTAAAATTTGGTCTGATAAGCATAATTGCTAGTAAATTCCTTTCTAGTACATTGCTCTTTGACAGGAACTCTTGTGCTTCTTTTTCCCCACCAGATGTATCTAATCTTTGTTTTGCTAACCGATATCCGACTAAATCAGGTCTGTTGGCTACTTTTTTCCCGGCTCTTGTTGATAGCCAACTTAACTGCCAAGATTTTGTTGGCCAAGTTGATGTTGATCTGTCTGTTTCGTAAGCAAAGAAAGCACATGGTAGTGTGCACGATAGAACCACATCACCCTGTGAAGGCATAAATATGAACACATGTTACTTTTTGTGTGTTATACAACCATTATGAAAGCTATGAAGTACACAATACCTTATTAAGAACTCTTTCTTCATATTCGTTTGTTGGACTAATTCAATGTGATCTATCAATGTCATGGTTATGCTAAAATGTTTTTCACCAGTTTACAAGTAATGATGTAATCAAGTACACTTTTACCTATCATATTGATTGATAATTGGCTCAAACTCATTTAGTAATGATGGTTACTCTAGTAGATTTTTCATCATATTGAATGACAACTATATCATTAATCAAACTGAAAAAAAATCCTGCATACAGACTGCCTTTATTTAATAGTTATACGACAATGATATTTCTAACATTGAGTTTTCTAAACATCTGACTTTGGGGTTTGCTGTACTTGCATATATATATACGTTACCAGATACTTTTGCTTGTATTTCGCACCCATGTACGTATTTAGCGTTGGGATATTATTGGTGATGGTATGTTGATTTTTTGGAGCAAGACATGTGTCGAGTATTCTTTTGGTACAAATAATATGTTCATTAGAAGCTTGTTTCAGTTTCAAAAATTATCCCCGTAACGTAGATAGTACGCGGATATATTGGTCGGGTTTGCCTATGGAGATGGCTCAACTGAGCTATACCGGCTGGAACATATGTTCCTTCAAGTTCCACAATGCCAGGCAGGTCAGTTGTTGGACAGTGAGGCTAGATGCGGCGACTTAAGGTCTGAGGGTGAATTCGTACTTCTAACTGTAGAGAGGTGTGACGACGGTAAGGTATTTCCCTCGGGTAACCAGCATCTGCAACAGTGCTGCCTTCTCCCAAAGAGGGAAGGGATTGGATTATGTGACACGTCACCTTACGTCAAGGGTTTCCGTCTCCCGGGGAAAGGCTACTTGGTAAGCGGAGCTAACTTTAAAAACTCCCCAGGAAGTGACATCCGCCCTCATACCTGGAGAAGCACACGAGACTGAATCGTTCACAATCAGGTCCTTTCTGCACCTCCTAAATAGTCTTATCTCCACGACCAACCCTACTTCCTTTCTTTTATCACCGCACCACTGATTCCAACGTTTCGAGCTTATGAACCGTTACTCTTGGTCTCCCGAAACCCCGCTCTAAACTACTTATTGAAGCTTTCAATGTTCGAACCTTGTGCCAGTAGGGGCGACAGGCTTCATTAGATAGAACTCCGGAATCCCGTAAAACCGATATGTGTTGCGTATCCGAAACGCGCATACAGGATCTGAGCAAAATCATTAATTTGTTGTCTCTGACTGCAGCTCAGATGAGGTAATAGATGAGTTTTACCGAAAATTTTCTAACGTTCAAAATGTTAAGCGCCTTGATGTAGTTATAGTGGCTGGTGACTTTACTGATCAAGTAGATTGACCAAACGAAACTGAAAGTCTCAGGGGTGGACCTTTTGGTGCTGCGAATCACAGAACAGGAAATAGTGCACGTCTGCTGCAACTGTGCTCAGATAACCGCCTATTTCTAGCAAACGCTAACTTTATGCATTAGGAAACATCTCGATTTGGTCACCCACAAAGTCGTCCCAACGCTGGACTCAACTAGATCATATCGCCATCAACCACCGATGGAGGGGTTCGATCGACAACTGTCGCTCGTCCTGGGACCCATGTTTAGACTCAGATCATGCTACAGTGCGAGCACTTATTTGTTTGAGGTTTACTGGTCGTATGAAATACAGTTCTACTTAATGACAGCATAGCAGAGTATATTTCAGAAACAATTAGGCAGCCACGTAGTAAGTGATGCTCACCCTGACTGGTTGGGATCTGTGAGATTGATAGTAATCGATAGTTAGAGAATTGTTAACTTGGCCACTACGATGTGGTGATCTGTAGCTTCTTTCGCTGTCCTTAGTGTGCACAAACTCTAAGCATAGGAAAAAGCATCTTATGATATGGCGACCTCTACATCGACTCAACTCTGGACTCAAACAGACCACACTGTCCCTGAAATGCACATACAGGACCTAGTGTTGGAACTTACCATTTGACTCCTCAGGAGTTCGCCTTCTAGGCGACTTGTCGATTTAGAATGCGCAGATGACAATTATTTGGTCAAGACACTGACAAAATGTAGTGTTCAGAGCACATTAAGCACGAAGGTCGGTACCAAGTCCTACGTTGCGATTGACTGAAAAAAAATTTCCTATTTTTAAACCGAACATGTAGTTAGCTGTTATACTTATCTGAGTGTTACACAGCAACAATTTACGTAGAATTCGTATACCTAGTTTTAGCATATTCATCCAATAACCTAAGAGAATTATTGGTCAAATCCCATTGGTCGATTTCTATTAGTCGAATTTATGGTCGTTTTAACTGTCAAATTCAAATACTTCAATGTTATCTTTTATTGGTCATCCGACTCAATGTCATTTCAAATATTCTTTCTTATTGGTTGTCCTGACTATCAATGTCACTTCAAATGTTACTTCCTATTGGTCGTCTTAACTGTCAATGCCACAGAATTCGATTCTTTTTCCTATTCGACCAAAATGTATAAATACGCATTATCTGACCAGGAACCGGTCCCGGATCCCTATTCCGGTCTCCTCTTTCTCTTCTGGATTCGGACCTCGTACTTTCTGGATGCTTGTAGAATACACGTTCTGCTCCATATCATGTCTTCCTATTTGTATTCAATATGAGGGTTGGGATAATCGGATTTGAGTAGCATGTCGTGTCGCCGGATCCTCGATCCTCGCTCTTGTTTTCCGTCTAGGTAAACTCGTAATAGTTCAAGTATTATATCAAGTTGACGTGTTTACGTGCAGGCGTAACACTTAAATCATTACTGACAATGTAATGCAGAGGTTGAATTTCGTTTTTTTTTTGCAACTAATTAAACGCATTCCAATTGTCATATTAACTTTCAATCTTTGTACGTTTCATTTCAACAGCCATTGTTTCAATTTCAAATGTGTTTTTGATTGAGATAAATGCTAGCTTGTTCACCATTTTGTCTAGTGTTTTGCTTTTTTTTAGATTGCAGTTTTTTTTTTGAATATCAGCATCAAAAATATGCAATTACATAATTATAGGAACATTATTATAGGAAAAATTTACAATAAAGAAAAAAAGTACTTACTTGATAATGTTTAGTCACTTCTGATTTACATAGTACACGATTTTTCACTGCTTCAAGTTCAGATAAACATGCTAAATTAAATGGCATTTCATATGTTAATATTTCTTGATTTTGTTTGTTGTTATCAGATAATAATTTATGATTTTGATTATTATTATTATTATTATTATTATTATTGTTATTAATGGTAGATGAATTGTCAATTGTGTAATTTTGCATAATTGTTGTACGTTGAATATCACAATTTCCTACTTTAACAAATGAATTCATTTCAAGACAAAATGGTAAACTTTCATTAATATATGGAAATTCAATAGCATTACATCCACAAAGTGAATTAATTTTAGCCTGAAATAATAATAATAATAAAAGAAAATTTTGAGAATAAAATTATCAGAACAATTTTTTTTTCTATGCTCAGTATGATGAAAATCATAATTATTAAGCCACAATTGAAGTTATCAATGACTTGACAGCATGAAAATAATCTTCATCAGTGAGTGTACCTATTCATTTCTTCATCTTAATGGATTGAACCCATTAACTTTCAGTTTTTTTTTAGTTACTCAAAAGTCTAACCTATAAACCTGACGCTTTATTATTATTTAAATAATCAATGGACAATCTCTCAAGATAATCTATCGTTTCCTCCTGTGTGTCAGTCAGTCAGTCAGTTGCAACGTAGAACTTCGTACGTATGTACATAAGTTCATGTTGTCATACCACATTAACACAGAGACGCAAATGTCAAATCAAATCCCATAGTGATGAAGATAGTAGAGGTATTAATGGTAATGAAGAAGACTAGGGTTTGAAGATATTATTCAAGAAGTATAATTCAGTGAAATAAGGTTAGAAAGACAAAGGTAGAGGTGCTGACGAATCCAGAAGATTAGGATTTGAAAGAGCTCAAAGAATAGATGCACTTGCACTATTGCAAACGATTTTGAGCCATGTCGTTCAAGGTCTCTAATCGACTAAAAGCAGCTACTCAAGGTCTGAGGGTGAAGTCGTACTGCTGACTGCAGAGGGGTGTGACAGCAGTAAGGTGTTTCCCTCGGACAACCAGCATCTGCAGCGATGCTGCCTTCTCACAAGGAAGGAAGGGTTAGAAAAGGTCGACCCCAAAAAATGTCACACCTCACCTTACCTCATGGATTTCCGTCTCCGTCGGTAAGGGAGCCCACTAAGGGCTTTCAAGAGCTGAGCTAACACTCAAAAAACTTTTCATAAAAAGGCCGTGCGTAACCGGCCTCAAGCAGTTGTCCCATGGACTTTGAGGTCACGCTCCCGAGTCTCCAAGACCAACCCTAATCTACCTTCCTTTTCAGTTCCCTCAAGAAACAACCTTCCACGATGTGGGTAGCCGGGATGTGACAACCGCCCTCATACCAGTAACAACACACGAGACCAAATTGGTCAAAATCAAATTCCTCCTGTGAATAATTGACTTACACTCAGTCAAGGTTCTGGGTTCGATTCCTTACAGTTTGAATTCGGATTCGATATTAGGATGAACTAGCTATTCAATGTTCTATAGCTTTCAATAGTTGTCTAACTATGATCAGTTTTTTTTTATTTAAACACTTTGAAAATTTTGTAGTCTTCACAAATTCACCTAATTCAATCAGTCATGAATTTTATTTATTTGAGAATAGATTTTTGTCAATCATTTTCCTTTATAATCCATTCAATAATCTTGAAAGTGTATTTCAATTATCGTGTAACTGTTAATTAGTTAAAAATTATCCTAAAGATTTCAATGTCCACCGTCGGCGGAATAAAAAAACTGTTGTATAAATACCTACAAAGAAAATATCGGGAACAAAAAAGCTAAATATGATCAGTTTGGATTTGTGAAGTCCATCAATCCAGTGATTATCAATATTGCTAACATGTGGAGAGGTGAGTAGTTGAATGCAAATGAAAATTACCAGAAAAAAAATTGTTTAGGGTGTGGTTTTTCCCAAAAAAAAAAGAAATACCAGTTTTAAACAATTGATCTATGAAAATATAGACAGACATACAGTGTAAATTAGGGAAAAGTCGTTCAATAGTCCCGAATGCTGTTCAATGTGTCTCAAAAAGTAGCCACTCACTTTCTAACCAATCATTTTTTATTATTATCGACGAATATATTGTCTGAATGGAGGTGATTCATAAAATAACTCAAGTGTTTGTAAAAAAAAACAGAGTTAGTTATAGGGCATACTGAAATTTAATTCTAGTAATAAGAAACATCAAATGAGAAGTCATCTATTTCTTGTGAATTAGTTCCATTTATCAATAGAGTGAAGAATAGACCATGTGACCAAAAAAATTTTAACGATTGATAAACAATACTTATTGGAATTGAGAATTAGTAAGGTTTATACAGAAGAATAGTACAAGTATAGTAGTATTCAGTAACAAACATTAGATTAAGACATTTGAATTAGTTAAAATCACTTTGTTTTTGAATTTGAATGCTAGAAAGAAACAAATACTTCAATTTGAAAACAACATGGTGTTTAATAGTTTCAAAATCTCGAATACACTTTAGTTAACTTGTTATGATTTCAGAAAAGAAATACATTATTATTTGATTAGGGGGTATTAAGTAAGGATGGTAGATCAATAGATGAAGTAGTGAATCGTCATCAGTTGAGGTGATTGGGACATGTGTTACGAATGCCTAACCACTGACTGCCTCGACGAGGGATGTTTTGTGTTGTAGGAGTAGGTTGGAAGAAAGCTAGGGGTGGCCAAACCAAAACATGACAGAAATCCATGATGTCACTGACAAATGGGCTGAGTCATGTTGGTAAATGTAGGCTACCTGATTGAGGTCCGCGAGACGTAAGTCATCAGTGGTTAGAGACCCTTCATGATATGGCTCAAAATCGTCTGCAATGTCACAGGTGCATCCACTCTTTGTGTTCTCTTTCATTCTAAACTCCTGAATCCCTCGTCATCTCTATCTTTCTCTTTCTAAATTTATCTCACTGAATTATACTTCTCTAATAATATCTTCGAACCCTAATCTTCTCCATTCTGCTAATACTTCTACTATCTCTACCACTATGGGATTTGAAACGACAATTGCTTCTCTGTTCCAGTGTGATATGGCAACCTGAACCGATTTACGTACATACGAAGTTCTACGTTGTAAACTGACTGACTGAAGTGTTCTCATATGGTTTACCACTTCACAACAGTATACTTCTTCACATACATAACAAGTTACTTTACAGGAATTGCACATTTTTAAAAGTAATCTTTAATTGAAAGAATTCCTATATTAAACTTAAAAAAAGAAAATTATTTTTAATTCATCTTTGTATACAAATATTAAAAGAGTGTATATGAAATACAATAAATCGATCAATAGCGTTCGTGATATGATGAGTTTAAACTCAATGAAATCGAACCGTGAATCACGTATGTAAAAGAAATATTTAAAGAACTTGAAGAAAAAAAACAGCTAATCATTTCTGATTTGTCGAATACTTATCAATCTATATTTGTGCTTGATAAATCAATATAATGTACAATGTTTAACTGTTGTAAACTGATACATGATTATGAATAATTCAGAATGTATTTCTGAAGCGTTTGTCGGATTTAATTCGTCCTTCAGATTTACAGTTATAACTTTGAATGCAATATTTGAGAATATGGAGTCAGTGCGAAATCTTTAATCAGAACAAGGACAACTTAGTTTTAAATTTTAGCTATTTCTAAACATAAAAACAATTAGATCAGTACAATAATTAAGGAAATTACAGCATCAAATGAAATCGATCGATATAACGTGTCTTATGGAAATGAAAATAAAATCATGAGTCACCACCAATATAGTATGATAATAATGTCCTTCAATTAGTAGGTCATTTACAACAGAGATGGTTTACAGACACATCAAACCAGATCACGTGGTAAGAGCTCAAACCACGATTTGATTGGTTAGTTATGATAATAACTGATAGAGCTTCAGTTGATACTTTACTGGTTGGTGTGTTTGTGATTAAACTCTGGATAATTAATTAAAGTTAATATAAATATAAACTGTTTTTATCACAATGAAACTGTTTTATGAGATTTTAAATGATAGAAATGAAATTTTCTTTACAAAATGGAGTTGATTTTCACATTTCAAAATTTTCTGTAGATAAAAATTCTTCTATCTTTGTTTTTTTTCTTCTAGACACCTAACTGTTTCTTTGTGATATAGTAATCAAATATCAAATATTTTGATATTTCTGACTAAATTGTTTTTACTCTACCCTAGTTAATTATAAGGTATTCAATTGTAAATGTAAAATTTTCATAAACTTTAAACAATATTTTCTGAAATGTTTTCATAAATATTGTAACTATTTTATTTTTTAACAAAGAAATTGTATTGAAATGTAATTATAAACTGTGTGAGAAGAAAAAAAATTAAATGACTTGATTTAATTTGTTTAAATTGTGTTTAATTGTCTGTCTTGTTTCTTTCAAACAGTTTTTTTAAAAGTTAAAAGTGTTCAAGGCAACAATATTCAAATGGGAAGTAAACTTCCTCAAAATATATCTGCAGGTTATATAGGCGTTTATTCATTGATTACTTGAAACTTATAAAAAAATAGGCCATGACAATTTTATTCATTATCACTTATATCCAGTTAAATGCATGTGAAGTAGTCTCAACTATCACCAATCACTCTTAGAACAACATTTCTTTGTGAAAACATTTATACTGATAATGGGTACCTGTTGAGGACGTTAAATCCCCAGAGCTCACTTGATAAATGTCCTAAACTTGGATTTTATACTTTCATGAATGGGCTGATCAGTTGACCTTGAGAATACATTCCCTACCAGATTTATGTTGATTGATGTATTATTTTAGTACGCTATTTTTGTGGCTTTCCCAAGGATGTTTCTATCATGTGTAAATAAACTCGAATTGTGTGCTTGTCAACCTCATATTTTCTAGGTGCTTGTCGAATAGACTTTCTACGTCTTATCAAGACTTCTTCCTCTACTTAGTAGTGCTTTGGGACGCTAAGATTACAGTAGCCTATCGTATCACTGTATCATTTTTCTGTGCTCTTGTTTATCAACTAAGGTGAAGTCGTAGTAGTTTCAAGCATATCAACTGGTGACGAGTATACCTGTCTTATTCCATTTTGGACTTATCAAGTGAATGTACCTAGATCCAAGGACTGATTTTCACTTGGGTACTTAAAACCAGTTCTTTTACATTAAAGATGTAGTGTAGTGTATTCTCCATTGTTATACGGCATTCACAAAACCATTAATGTTTTCACTGGGTGTAAATTTTATTTTACGTACAAAGAGTTTCCATCTTTTAGATATGATAA